GAAAGGGTCGTCTGACCCCCCCCCAGGGGGTCTCGACCCATAGGTTGAAAAGCACTGCATTGGAGGAAGACAGACAGACACACACACACACACACACCCCCAACAACTGTTAAATATGTCCAACATTCCCCATCTATACCTGTCTCACTAACTGCTCTCCTTCTGGATGAGGTAGACGGTCTGGAAACTGGATCTGAAGAGGAAGGCTTCTCTTCTGGTGGCTCCTGCACAGGGTCCTAACACACAGGGAAACACAGAACATGAAGTAAACACACAGCCCAGGCTGATCCAAGTCCTGTTTGATACAACCCTCCAGTTGTCAACAACTGCTTGTCACGAAGAGGAAAGACGGCTCAGAGATTGAGACCTGGGCTGCTCTTGCCTGGATGACTTTCGGTTTCCACCACTCATGTCTGGGGCAGCTCCAGGTGACCTGACATCCTCCTCTGGCCCGAGGGCACGCACGCACGCACGCTCCCACACTCACAGACAATACACACAAACAGAAATTTTAAAAAGGAAACTTATTTAATTAACCATTACCTTCCGATCACTGCCACCTTCAGGTTGACACCTGCTCTCACTCATGGATGTGCCGGAGTCTGCAGGCTCTAAGAGAAAGTAAAAACTGACTCAACACAAGAACAAGAGTTCAACATCACCAGTCTAACACAGCCTGTACAAAATTTAACCTTTCAACAAACATTAACCATGTATGTCCCGAGTGTCATTTGCATGCTAAAACCTGGAGATGAAACTTTAAAACAAGAATCATAAAGTAAAATGAGCACATTTTTAAAATATACTAGCAGATGCTGGGCATGGTAGCACGCACCTTTATCCCAGCACTTGGGAGGCAGGGGTAAGCAGAGGTAGGCAGATCTGAGTTGGAGGCCAGCCTGATCTACAGAGTGAGTTCCAGGACAGCCAGGGCTATACACTGAAACCCTGTCTTGGGGAAGGGTGAGGGGAGGCTGAACTAGCAGAGGAAACAAAGCATTGTTTGATAGATGTGGGGGAAAGAGACTAAAGAACTATCAGGACAGATTTTTAATAGCCTGTGCTGAAGCTAGTGTATATAAGACATTCCAGACAGAAAAAGTACTATGTGGAAAGGAATCCAGACACACAAACAGTTCTGTGGCACAAAATTAAAAACTAATTCGTTTTTATTGGAACGGAAGCAGGGTCATTGTGCAAAGAGCCATGTGTGCTCCTCCAAACAGCACAAGATGTCCTTCTTCTGAGCAGTTATTGTCATGGGACTGGAGAGATGGCTCTGGAGCAGACCTAAGTTCGCTTGCTCAGCACTCACGTCACGTGGAATCTAACACCTCTGGCCTCTGTGGACACCTGCACTTATGGGCACATAAGCACATACAAGGACACACACATAATTTTTCTTTCTTTTTTTTTTTTTTTCTCTTGAGATAGGTTCTCATTATGTAGACTTGGCTGGACAGGTCCATCTGCCTCTGCCTCCCAAGTGCTGAGATTGAAGGTATGAGTCACCATACCAGGCTCCATAATTAAATTTTTTTCAAAAGAGGGTTGGAGTGATGGCTCTGGAGGTTAAGAGCACTGGACGCTCTCCCAGGAGGTAGCAGCTCATTCACAATAGTCTAACTCCAGTCCTAGGAGATCAATGCCCTTCTTCTGGCCTCTGGGCACTGCACACAAGGGACGCACAGACATACACACAGGCAAAACACCCTACACATAACATGAAAACACCCCACACTAACATGCAAAGAGCCATTTTCAATTTACTTGTTTGGTTTTGGTTTTTTCAAGAGAGGGTTTCTCTGTGTAACAGCTCTGGCTGTCCTGGATCTCACTCTGCAGACCAGGCTGGCCATGAACTCACAAGAGATCCACCTGCCTCTGCCTCCCAAGTGCTGAGATTAAAGACAGGTGCCATGACTGCCCAGCGTGTTTTTAATTTTTTAAAAAAGAATGAGAATGAACCACAGGGCTGCTGAGGCAGCTAACTAGTACAACACTTTCCAAGCACAGATGAGTCCCTGCGTTCAGTTCCCAGCAGTGCTGAATAAATAAATGAATGCCATAGGGGCTGTAATCCCAGCTATTTGGAGGGAAGCAGGAAGACTGAGTTCCAAACCAGCCTGGATAATTTACAGGGAAATCCAATCTCAAAACAAAAAAGTAAATAGAGGCTGGAAATATGGCTCTGGTTAAGAGCACTGGCTACTATTCCAGAGAATCTGGATCCAATTCCCAGCACTGACACAGCAGCTCACAACCATATCTAATCCAGTTCCAGGAGATCTGATGGTTCCTTCTGTCCTCAGAGACACTGCACACAGATGGTACACAGACATACAAAACACTTACACACATGAAAATAAGCAATAATTTACAAAAAAAATTAGTGGGCACTGAAAGAGCTGACTAAAGAAATCAGAGAACCAGAAACACGAAACACAAAATCCACATACACAGTAACACTGTCTCTGATGTTTTGCTTTGCATCTTTACTTTACAGTGCTAAGGACTGGAGCTAGAACCGCACACAGGCCAGCAAAGCACTCTATCACTAAGTGTACCTCAAGTCCTCCAACTGCTGTAAGAACTGGCAAGGCGGTTCACAAGGTCAAAGGGCGTGCATGGAAGCCTCAAGATATGAGCTGGATCTCTAAAATCCACATAAAGAGAACTCCTGTGTCCCACCCCAGACACACAGCACAAATACACACATTTAAAAGCTCCAGGGTTCTCAGCTACATAGTGAGTTTGAGGTTAGGCTAGGATACACGAGACCCTGAATCAAAGAGAATTGTCTTTAAAATTACAGTATTTTCATTAACTTACCTTGCTGACTTACAACCACCAAGTTTCTGTAGATCATTGTATATATTTTCCTTGTAAGAAAAAGAAAAATTATAAATAGAGAACCTATGGCTGGAAAAAGTTAGATCCACTTATACACCCACACAACTTGACTGGACTGGTCTCAAAAATAAGTCAGACCTGGTGACCCGAGTTTGACTCCTCAATGCTGTCTCTGGAACCCCCCAATCACAGTGAGTGGCACATGCACAATTAAAAAACAAACAAGTTTTTAAGATTCCAGAGTTCAGGTTCCCAAACAATATACCCGGCCCCACCAAAAAACAAAGGTCAGGGCCAGGAGTGTTACCACAGCAGAGCATTTTGAATGCACGCTACATACAGTTTGTCTGACAGAGGGGCAGAGATGGAGAGGAGCTGCAGCTTTACGGAATGATTTACCTGTGCTCTTTCACAGAGAAGCTCGGCACTCCAAACAAATCTCCTAGAAGATCATTTGAACAATACACAATATGTTGCTGCTTCTCATCATATAATCGTTTAGTCATAATATACTGGCCAAGATAAAATATAATCTGAAATAGAAATAACAGTTTCTAAGTATTAAAACTAAATATCAGTTTTACATACATTGAGTAATACCCCATTTATCCAAACAACCACCATATCCACAATCATGTATAAGACCAACATTTTGTATTTAGAACCTCTTTTAAACACTTTTTTGTTTTGAGACAGGGTTTCTCTGTGTAGTCCTGACTGTCCTGTATCTCTCTTTGTAGTCCAGGCTGGCTTCAAACTCATGGAGATCCGCCTGCCTCTGCCTCTTAAGAGCTGGGATTAAAAGCATGTGCCACCACCCCGTTTAAAACACTTTCCTTTTGCCGGGTGGTGGTTGCACACTCCTATGATACTAGCACTCAGGAGGCAGATCCAGGCCGATCTCTGTGAGTTCGAGGCCAGCTTGGTCTATAGATCGAGATCCAGGACAGGCTCCAAAATTACACAGAGAAACCCTGTCTCAAAAAACCAAAACACTTTTCCTTTAAGTTGATGAAAATAGAAGTAACTGTTTCTCCGCATTACTTGAATGTGTTTCTTGCTTTTCTTTTCTTTTTTTTCATAAACTTTAATTCTTCCCAGAAATCTAGATACTAACATACTAGGAAAGAAAGGAAAAAGAGGCAAAAAAAAAAAAAAAATTGAAGGCAAAAAAAAATCAACTAAAACACACAGCGGTGAATTAGAGCAATGACAAATGTCACAAATATATTCTTCAACAGCTCTAAAGTCATCAAGAGGATCAGGAAAATCCTCAATGACATCTCCCAATGGAGTATTCTCAACGTTATGAATCTTTCTCACAGTCCATGGCCCCAACCATTACTATTAAGTTATATTCCACGTGTGCCATTAAGTCAGCTCCAGCCACACACTTTGTTACCATAAAGCAGCCCGTCACAACATCTGTGAGCGTCCTGCGGGGCACAGCGAGTTCTGCCAGCAGTCTCGTCATCCTGACACCCCACAGAACTGAGAGCACTGTACGGAAACCAAGAGGGTGCCCCTTGGTCTGACACCTGAGGAAACCACCTGGGACGAACACCTACTCCAGTGCACTTTCGACTATCCCATACAGGTGTCCACTACTTTTTCAAGAGCCCCAGGATAAAGAGCTTGAAACTGAAAACTGGTACAGACAATATAAACAGCCCTAAGTCCCACCTCCATAGTCCATCCAAGTCTGGGTCTAAAATACTCCAGGGGTCTGTCCTAAACATGGAAATGCTTTTTCTTGTCAATACTCCTCAAATAATACAGTATTAATAACTTTGTATTATCATGTGTTATAGGTAATCTAGAGACAACTTAAAGTATAAGGGAGGCTGTGCATACATTACATAAAAAGTTTCTTTTCGTACCCGGGCGGTGGTGGTGCACACCTTTAATCCCAGCACTCAGGAGGCAGAGCCAGGCGGGATCTCTGTGAGTTTGAGGCCAGCCTGGTCTACAGAGCAAGATCCAGGACAAGCACCAAAACTACACAGAGAAACCCTGTCTCGAAAAACAAAACAAAAAAAAGTTTAGTTTTTAAAGTTTCTGGAGACATTTCTCTATGTAACTGCCATGGCTGTCCTGGAACTCACTTTGTAGACCAAGATGGCCTCAACTCACGAGGATCTACCTGCTTCTGCCTCCCAAGTGCTGGGATTATAGGTGTGCAACACCACCGCCCAGTAAGTTTCATTTTTTAAGTAAGGGACTTGGAAGGCAGGGTCCTAAAGCCAATGCCCTGCGCAGAGCAGAGGAAGACCACTGAGCCGTGGCATACAGCTCAGTACAAGCACCCTACATCTTTCTGATGGCCTTGATCTATTTTCTAGTCTATCTGCTACTAAAGCCATACTTTGTTTGTTTCCTTAACTAATTTTATAAAGGTCAATCCAAAGTTAATGTCCCTAAAAACATCACTTAACACTTAAGAGACTTAGTGAAGCAGGAGTCAATCAATCTTAAAGGAATGTTCCTCCATGTCCATGGGTCACGAGCACTGCTGATAGGCAGTGGGACAAAAAGAATAGGTTCCTTCTACAAAGTATCCCCTGACACATTTCTAACAGTATAGCTGAAGACAAATTTGGGAGTCTCTTCCTGTCCCACTAGCCTGTCACAAGAACAGAACTTCAGTCTTTTAAGTAAACAAGGTAAGAAATACTTGTATGTCACTCACACTGAAATTCTGTCTACAACTGCCCAGCCACTCAACTGAAGACCATACTTTTATGAACAAACTTCAAACTAAAGAACAATACAATGTTGTATCCATAAAACAGAACACAGCTTCATGATTCAGCTCACCTAAGAATTTCAGTACAATATGCTGTACTCATGTATCTTTAGAGTACAAGTTCCAATCTGGGATCCAGGGATGCCCAAAAAGTCCTTGGATAAAAATTTAAAGAATCCAACAATTTGGATGCAGCATGTGGGGAGATCTTCATTTTCACTAAATTTGAACTGAAATTTAGGTTTCCCCTCCATTTGAATATAGGCAACAAGTTATAATATTTCTAAGTGATTCTTGTCACCAATAAACATCAAAATGCTTTTGTACCCATCAATGTATTCTTTTATTCCTCATTACATTAAAATCAAATTTATTAAACTTCCTACCAGTGTTTTATTAATCTAGAAGGCATTACACTGGGCAGGTACCAAGTCAGATGACCCTTGTTTCATTACACAGGACTGGCAGGGCAGGAGAGAAGTGATTCCCTCACAACATCCTTTAATCTCCACCAGGCATACACACAAAATAAATGCAGCTTTAAGAATTCAAAACTAGCCGGGCGGTGGTGGCGCACGCCTTTAACCCCAGCACTCAGGAGGCAGAGGCAGGCGGATCTCTGTGAGTTTGAGGCCAGCCTGGTCTACAGAGCGAGATCCAGGAAAAGCACCAAAACTCCAGAGAAACCCTGTCTTGAAAAACCAAAAAAATTTCAAAACTAAGTAAAAAGTATATCATCACAAATTTGCTTACTAATATGTATTTAAATAATTCTGAGAAGTTACAGATCTGAGACTTTAACCAGTTTGCCAAATGAGTTCACAGCACAAAAATGCCAAGAATTCTATAGTACCTCTTTCAGTTTGGGTTTCTACTTAAAAAATGAAACACACCGCTGAGTGTGGTGACACACACCTTTAATCCCAGCACGCAGAGGCAGAGGCAGGCGGATCTCTGGGAGTTCGAGGCCAGTCTGGTCTACATAGCAATTTCCAGGACAATCAAGAGCTACATAGAGAGACTTTGTCTCTAAAAAAGAAAGTCCACAAATAAGTATTTTTAGCTTCAAAACATAGTTCAAATGGCCACAAAACAATGTTCCTGCTTATTACAAAATCTTTCTTCTTTCAATGAACTTGAAAAGCGCTGAAGGTTATTACCACACCAGTTCTCCATCTCTCAGCTCTGCTTACCTCTTTCATAGTATAAATATCCTTTTGGGCACCGACAGACTGTAACAACTTCAAAAGCAATGGTTTCGGTCTCACCTGTGAAAGAAATGAGCTGCTGTTAACACCCATGAAAGCAGTCTACAGCATAAGTCCTGCAAGTCTGTCCAGAAAGAAGCTCAATAAAGGCAGCAAATACTGTGTTTGAAAATTGGTACAAAGTTAGACCTCAAAAAGTTGGGTTTTACAACAAGTGCAATAGACTTCATAAACAGAATAGCACACATCACCAAAAAGGAGGAAAAATGCTTTGGAAAAAGCTATTATGCAATGATCATGAAATCATTAAATACTATTAGTTGTGATCAAAAAACAGTATCAAGAGGATCAGAGATTAAAGGCATTGGCTGTTTTTGCAGAGGATCCAAGGTCAGTTCCTAGCACCCATTATCAGGCACCTCACAACTGTCTAAACTCCAGTTCGTTCCAGGTGATCACATCTTCTGCTGGCTTCTGCAGGGCCTGCACATACACAAGAGTGTGATGCTATTTTCTTCTCTAGCTCTATCATGTTTACTACCACAAAATCTAGTGGAGATCCAGTATGCCTAGTGTACTGTACGAACCCAAAGGTCTGCTGTAAGGAAACGTACAGAATGAAGGAGAAGAGACTACATCTCTAGGACTAAACCCATCACCAACCTATTACACACCAGATTCCTGACTGCTATACAACAAATGCAAGTCAAAGAGGTAAGGAGCAATTCAGAGACTACAATTCACGTCCCTCAACTACAGCTCAGTATTTTCTTCCTATGTGGTTTATACCTCAAGCACCCACTTACAATCTTTTACAATGCACTCAAAAAGGCTAGACATTGACACCAAAAAAGACATATGACCTTTATTTAAAGAGCATGCCAATAAGACCAGAAGAGCCATAAGGAATTTTTCTCCATACCTAGCCAATTTAAAGCAAAGTACTATATGAACTACAGGAGTGAATATATAATAAACTTTATTTACAAAGACAGGTCAAATTTTACCAGAAGCTACAGTTTGTCCATCTTTAATCTAGCTTTCCCAGTGGTAAGATGATAATTGGTGGAGCTAAAGAGATAGCTTAGAGGTTAAGAGCACTTGCTGCTCTTACAGAGGCCTTGGGCTTGGTTCCCAACACCCACATGATAGATCAAGTTACTATCTGTTACTTGAGTTGTAAGGATCTGACACCCTCTTCTGGCTTCTGTGGGCACCAGGCATCCACATGGTACACAGACACAAATGCAGGCAAAAAACATCAAACACATAAAATAAAAATCCTTAAAAAAACGACAACTACCACCTGACTAGCAAGCTGTGAGCCACAGAGCTGCTCATGAGCCCAGCCTGGCAGCCAGCACCCACCAGTGGAGCACCAGCAAGGAGCACCATGATAGAGTGGCACTGAACTCAGTTTCTCACCACCAGTCATGCACTACTCTGAAGATGTTCCTGTCCTTCACAGCTTTAGTGGTCATGGTTCCTCTCAGCTTGTGGTCTGGAACTGCTGGGTGCCAATAAGGACAGCCTTCTCTTTCATTCCGTTTCATGCATTGGATGTCTTATCTGCATGTACTTCTGTGCACCACTTGTGCTCTTGGTCCCCAGGGAGGCCAGAAAAGTGTCCAAGCCCCTAGAACTGGAGTTACAGATGGCTGTGAGCCATCACCTGGGTGCTGGGAATAGCGGCCAGGTCCACTGAGTAGCAGCCAGTACCCCTTGCCACTTAGCTGTCTTTCTCTAACAAGACAGCTATTTTTTGGCCTGGCTCCACTGTTGCAGATCACACTGTGCTGGCCCTCCTGGTCTACATGGCCTAGAATGCAACCTCATGTTGTATACTACCTTTAGACAGTATTTAATCTCTTTTTAAATACCGTTAAATGCTTCTAGGATAGTAAGTACACTGAGTCAACTAAAGTTGAAACAAAGTTTGAAAAACCGGGATGGAGAAGGCATGGAACGTGATGATGCTTTTTATCTGCAAAACTCAACTTTTTATTTGACACTGCCACACAGACCATTATCTTTGCTTATTTATTTCTGGTATTTTTTTAAAGACTTTTATTTATTTGTATTTTATATGTACTGATGTATTTCTGTACACCATGTGCATACAGTGCCCCTGGAGGCCAAAAGAGCCAGTAGATCCTCTGGAACCAGAATTACATTCAAGAGGGTTGGTGCTGGGAATCCAACCTAGGTCCTTTGGAAGAGCAGCAAGTGCACTTAACTGCTGAGCCCTCTCTCCAGCCTCACTTTTTGTTTTAAAGACTTTTTAGCAGAGTTTTAAAATGCTCTTTTAAAAGTGCATTTATTCCTGAAGAGCACACAAATAGGTTATCAAATACCAAATGGTCAGCCCTGAAAACATACATAGAAATGGCATTAGTCACACAGACCAAGATGTGTGTATGCATGTAACAAAAATTAATGAAAAAAAGGTCATGAATCAGATAAAGTATATTGGAAGTATATTGAAGGATGGAAAAAGTAGGCAGAAATGGTATAATTATAATCTCAAAAACAAAGAAAAAGCTTTAAAAATGAAATGGGAACCAGCTGGGTACGGTGGCGCATGCCTTTAATCCCAGCATTCAGAAGGCAAAGCCTGGCAGATCTCTGTGGGTTCAAGGCTAGTCTGATCTACAGAGCAAGTTCCAGGACAGCCAAGTCTGTTTCACAGAGAAACCGTCTCCAAAACTTGAAAAAAAATTTTTTCACTTAGTAAAATTTGAAAATTACTTTTTAATCCTTAATGCTCAGTCACTTATGCAGAAGTCATGTTAATCTTCTCTGTAGTGTGTCAGTTTTAGCATATGTACTGCCCAAGCAAACACCTCCTAAGTTTTTGACATATTAAATTAAATCAAAACTCTACAATGGAAAGCCAGTTTCTTATTAAGGCTTACAAGGTAAGAGCTGACTTCAAAACAAACTACTATAAAAGATAACATTCTTCATAATCTTATACTTAAGAATAAAAGAAAACTCGCCAGGCAGTGGGGGCACACACCTTAATCCCAGCACTCGGGAGGAGGCAGAGCCAGGCGGATCTCTGAGTTCGAGGCCAGCCTGGTCTACAGAGCGAGATCCAGGACAGACACTAAACTACACAGAGAAACCCTATCTTGAAAAATCATAAATACATACATACATACTCAAAAGCCATCCAAACAGACAAATCTGACTTTATAAAAATATTCTCAGTGGGAAAGACAGCATCAAGTTGCACACGGTACTATTAAGAAATTAACTATACTCAAACTGCGCAGAACTACAGAATTATGCAAACCACTAAGAAAATGCAAAAGGAACTGAGGGGAAGAGGGGAAAGGGAGAGGCTAGGAAGAGGGGTTAAAGAGAGGTGGAGACTGGGCAAAGCTCAGGATAAACAAGTTACTTAACACATGAAAAGCTGAGTTGCCTCACCGGAGATCTGGGGCATGTATACTGAAACAACAGTCCAGCAATGGTAACTGGCGCACAGTAACATGACACATTCTATAAAGAACTACAGGAGGAGTTCGGAGATTTCCAACAAAGAAATGAGAAATGAAGGGAATGAAAAGCTAATCACCTTGATTTACACGCATACACCAAATCATCACACTGTTCTTCACAAACATGTACAAGATTACATCAAAGGGAAAAGGGAAAGAGAGCGGGCAGAAGTGAAGACAGTTGTCCCCTTTGCTGAACCAGTCGGCAGTCAGCTGTTTACTCAGTCTTAGGATTTCTATTTCCCTATCGTTCTTAAAGAAAAATCACGTATTTTACTCAAGAACAGGAGGCAACTTTTACATCTACCAGTAGGTCATAGGGTTAAGAATGTAGCTCAGCTCAGTGGGAGAGTACTTATGCACCCACACCCCAAAGGCTGGGGTCAATCCCTAACACCAAAGCAAACAAAAAAAGCTATGCAGACTTAAGGAAAATGTTGAAATGGTGGACTCATGTGATCAACTACTATGCTGCCATTAAAAGTACTTCTGTAGTTTCCTGACGTGAATATAGAATAGGAAATTTAAAAGACAGAGCAAAGACTGGAACTTTCCATTTTTATTTTATGCATTTCTGTACTGACTAAAACCTTCACAAAAAGCCTGCATTACTTCTGTGACTTTTAGATTATCATTGAAAAAGTTAAACAGTGGTAGAACAAACTAGAAAATGCATGTCATAAGCGTCAGCATCCACCCTTGACGTAATAGAACTCATTTCTAAAGCCTGTATCAGGTGTAAGGCTATGAAAATACGGATTCTTGCTGTTAATTCTCTAATACAATTACAACTGAGAAACAGTCTTTAGTTAAAACGCACAGTTAATTTTAAGGGCTTTGCTATAGTTTGGGTTTACCTGGTAAAATAAGTTATTTCTACACACTCAAGACAAAAATACCAACCAGAGTCTCTTGTTCCGAAGCTGGAATCTGTGAGGTGCTTACAGCACCGTCAGTAGACACAGACATGTTGGTATTGCACATTGGCCTACAAGTAGGAAGAAAAAAAAACACACATACGATAAAAACTTGAAATGGTAAAATATCTGCGAAAATAAAAAGACACTTTTTTTTTTTAAAAAAGAGGACAGAAAACGTCTTTCACAGTGGCTTTCGAAAATCAAAAAAAAAAAAAAAAAAAACGACCCGAGGCGAGCTGTTCCTTACCTGGATTGCAGACCGGAGAGGGGCCGTCGTCAGGGTGGGAGAGGCCACAGGTGTCCCCGTCTCCGGCTCGCCGGCACCCCAGCTGCGGAGAGGACCGGGTTTAAATAACCCCTGCTGGAGGCAAGTCAGGACTTAGCTCCTCCAACGGGCGCCGCCGAACGTGTCCCAACTTGACCGGCCCAGCAGGAAACGCTGAGTCAACCCCCGGGGGCGGCCCCGGGTGGGGGGCTCGCCCTGCCCAGAGGGCCAGGCGACCGGCACCTGTTAGGGACCGGACGGACCCCTGCAGGGTGCAGAGAGCAGCGACCCCGGAGACCCCCCGCTACCACCGCCGGGTGGACCCCGGCTCGTCTCCTCCCCCTTCCCCCGCCCCCACCCCGCCGCGCGCCGTCCAGACCCCGCCCTCCCACCGGGCCCGAGGACACCCGGGGCCCCGGGGCGCCGCGGCCGCGGCCGGGCTGAGAACAGGCCACGGAGGACGCTGGAGCGGTGGGGACCCGGACACACGGACACGGACACACTCCGCCGCCCAGCCCGGGACGGAGCCTCGCTTCCGGCGCGTACCTGCTGCTGCTTCTCCCCCGCGTGGCTCCCGCCCGGCCCGGCCCGACCCTTCACGGGACACGCGGCGGCCCCGCGGCCTGGACCTGGGCCTGGGCCCGGGCGACCATTTCGCTCCGGAGCTCGAGCGACGGCGGCCCTTGACTCAGAGCGCGGCCGTCCCTCGGCTTCCCTCCGGGGGCCGCGGAGGGCCCCACCCCGCCTCTCCTCCGCCGCGACAAAGCGGAGCTGGCGCCGGAGCTGGAGCCCGGCGGCGCGCGCGCCCCCTACCGTCCGCGGGTAGAGCGCCGGAAGCCACGGCCCATCCGGGCACCTGAGCGAACGAGCGAGCGCGTACGCACGCGCACGCCTCCTGGACCAATAGGAGGCGGGCCTGGGCGGGGCTCGGCGGCCGCGCAGTGCGCGCACGCGCAGGGGAGGGGGGAGGTCCCGGTCGCAGGCGCGCAGTCCTTTTAATGAGTTGTTTTCCGGTTGTGGTTGTTGTTGATTTGTTTACATACCTCTGGCCGCAATGGTAACGTGGCAGATTCGTATCCAGGTGCTGCTGCTGCTGCTACCAAAACGGAAGCAAAAATAACAGCTGTGTGATATTTTAAACCCGCCCCCGCCAGCAGCTGGAGTTGTAGACTCCAGTGAGTTTATTTTCAGTCTTGAAAATAAAAATCGGGCTGGGGAGTTAGTCGGCTCAGTGGTGAAAAGAGTGCATCCTGCTCCTTTTCCGGTTCTCCTCACCCACGCCGCACAAACCCGTAACTGCAGCTCCCGTCAACCTTCTGGTCTCCACCGGCAACTGCACTCCGTGCACAGACACATATACATAATTAAAATTTAAATGAAAAAAAAAAAGCCATAGACGTACACTCCAGTGTTTACAAACTTCCTGGTTGGTGGTTATCGTGGGGGCTCAAGTTGTAGAAGGGATTGGGCCTTGAGGCTGAAACTAGGTGTTTGTAATCCCAGACCGGGAGCAACACGGCTGGCTGG